TTTATTATATACTTTTCTTATATGTAGTTAACTTTTTTTTGCAAATTTTTTCGAAGCCAATTTATTTAATATATATGCTCATAAAGACGAATACAAACGCGTATATTTCTCAATATTTACTTGTTTTGGAGGATTTTTCTGTTCCCTAGCCATCAAGGAGGTGTCCTCAATGAACGGATATTACGTGTTGCGCGTCGATGTGCTGCCGACAACGTAAATTAGACCCATAGCGAGCACTGCAAATTGTACGGCTTTCGCTTGAAAGAAAGTCTGGAAATCGAGAACCCCAAATTATAGGACCAACCATTTTTAAATCTTTATCTTTGTTTCTTTTTGGTATTCACCTTTCTAATATAAAGCGGCAACGTCTCCTTGCCTTTATGGGCATGCCAATCAAATCCGCGATACAGCCAAACTGTTGGCCAGGCTAAGGCGGCACTAATAAGAAATGGTGAGGCAGCTTCCATTGTCGCTTCAATATCTCGTCTGTGCATTAGGCGGCGCACCTCCTCGCCTAGGTTAACATCACGCGGCGCTAATTTTATTAAAGGGTACAAAGCGTTATTTTTTTTAATTTTCATCTCTTTTTTTTTTGTAACTCACCACTTTCAAAATAGCGTTGTTGGGTACTCTTTTTTTGAAATAAATTTTCAAAGATTCCCATTGTGCTCCAAGTCTTGGGCTGCTAACGACGCGCTACAATTTTTGGAAGAACAAAGTTGCACTAAAAAGTTGAGTAGCCGACGGGAAGCTTGAATTTGCGGTGTTTTTGCTTTAAATTTATTTGACTTAAATTATTTAATCGCGAAACTTTTTGAATGCACTATAATTTTTAGTATTCTACAAAAGGACCAAGAAAAAAGATTTTTTTATTTTTTTTTTTAAATTTATTCCAAGAAGGATTTTATTTTGAATTTTTACGCCAGAAATTTCAAATGTAAACTATCAGAAATGTGAAATACTTTTCTGTACTGCCTTTTTTGTCGAAAACTATAGTGGTTTTGTTTGAGTTGGCAAACATTAAATTTTTCTTTAAATTTTTCTGAGTAAATTTAATTGCTAATAAGTGTATTTAATTTGTGATCTGTCGAATTTGGGACTTTTTGTAAACTAAAAAAAACGTTCGCTTTCTTCTTCCCCATTTTCTCACAGCCTGGCTCTTTCAGTTGGTTATTCACTCTCAATCAATCAACCGGTCTAGGTTTACCTCTGTAATCGTCTTCGTGGTCGATACCCTTAAGCATATAGTTCACTTTATGTAGAAGAGGACTCTCTTCATATACCGCAAACATTAGACCCAAACTGAGTATAGCAAACTGCATTAACTTGGCTTGATGAAAAGTCTACAAAGAAAGAAAATTCCTATGTTTTAATATCTATGCTATTGTTCACAAATGTTTCCCCCATCTTACCCGATTTATATAGTTGACCAAGGAACGTTCCAACGGCGCCCTATTGCTCCAATCCATGCCTCTATACATCCAAAACGCCGGCCACGCTATAAAGCTAGCGAAAACAAATGGTCGCGCTCGTGCCATTTTTGTCTCAAAGTCCAATGGTGCATTATTTTGTATGAAATCCCGAAACTCCGAAGCATAGGATATGGGTTCGGGTTCTGCAAGTGAACAACAACCACACGATGTGGCGATATCTTCCACATCAAGTTGGTCTGTGGCAACAAGCAAGAAATGAAAAGCTCTTGTGATAAAGCTACTGGGCATTCGTATTAAAGCTACATAAGTAAAATGAGCTTTTCACAGACTTTTGACATAAGCTTGGCACGCGCAAGTGAAAGCTCTTCAAAAGTCTTGCATTCTGCTTTCACAAGCCGCCAATTTGCATTGAAAGTTTTTAATTTTTAATGCAATGCTAAATGTTTCCATGTTGCCACAGCTATTTTACGTACTCGCTCGCTCTTTTCTTCCTCCTAAACTCTTAAAAAAAAAAAACACTTTGCTCACCTTTGGGCGCCGAGCTGCTAAAGAATGGTATCTTCATTATAGTTTATGTTTCCAAGCGATAGGCAACAGTTTTAAGCAATACAATTTGACACAGATTTCAATTTAAATTCGTAGTTAATTTGAATTGATTGCTGATTTTGTTGATTACGATTTTGCCTGTTTTCTTCTAGTATATGCGCTGGCTCGAAAAACGCATTACTACACTAAGCTTGTAAAATAACACAAAGAATTTTTACTGCAAGTCTATTTTTTGTCTCTACTTCAGTGTGATTTTTTTCTTAGTTTTCAAAATTGAAATTTCTTTGAATTTTGTATCTAAAGTGACTGCGTTTAAATTTTTCTTGATGTCATTGTCCTTTTTATGAGTTACATATGTTCAGGACAGGGACCGATAATGCGTTCTAGTTTTGGTTTAGATCTGCATGAGAACAAAATGTAATGTCAATAACTTTCCGCAAAGGAACCTAATGAGAACAAAAAATTAAGAGCAGTTTGAACGGGAACAAAATGAGAAAAAGAGATTCGGGAACGAGAACAAAACCATGATTGTTAATTCTAAGCCAGAGGAAAGCTGGATCATTTCAACTTCCAGATCGTTTATCATTAGGGTGAACTGTCCCTTTTTGGTACAATTTTTCATTTTCTGTACAAGAAAAGTTCGTGTCTTATGTTGCTCGTTGACTTAATTTATATAAATAATCATGAGTTCCTTTTTCCTCGAAACGGTGCAGTTTTCGCTTTTTGTTTTCGTGTATGTATTATAGGCAGATTATAGATTTTCTGATGAATTTTTTTTTCGGGCGAAACTCAGGATAACGCTGATTATCTTTCAGCTCTGTTTGATTCATTTTAATATTAAGGCATTTCAAACAAATGGTGCGCTATGCGAAAAATTGTCTACTCGCTTCATTTATTCGCGAATTTCAGAGAAGATTTGTTCTCATTTTGTTCTGGGTTCGAAAGTTCCTGAGACTTTAGTTCCAAAATGGGTATTCCAGAGAAAGTTCCTTAGACCTTTGTTCCCGTTTGTTTTCTTTGCCAGAACGTTCCGGAGACTTTTGTCCTTATTTTGTTCTCTTAGAAATGTTCCCGAAAGTATTGTTCGCATTTTGTTCTCTTTGGGAACGTTCCACAGGGTTTTGTCCTTATTTAATTCCTGTTGAGAACGTTCTATACAGTTTTGTTCTCACTTTCGCTCTTGTTAAATCATTCCGCAAGGTTTTGTTCTCATTTTGGTTTGGGTTTTTAAGCGTTCATGGGAACAAAACTACCAGAACGATCTCGGTGTCTGCATTTGACACATTTTTTTAGGACATGACCGCATAAGGCCGGACCTAGATTCTGAATTCACAATGGGGCTTTCAAAGCTAGTAACGTCATATATACACATACATATATATGTACTTAGATAATTATTAATTCAACCCATAGGCGCTCCATTTGCATAATCACGTTTTTCCACTTTTTTTTTACTAAAGAGAAATTGCCTTCAAAGGCATTTCTAACTAACTACATTTATAGAAAAAATACCATACTTTTTCTTATAGCCACTACTTAGACCCAAATGCTTTTCTATTATAGGCTTAGCGCTTGTGCGAGCAATTTAGGTTAATTTGATTTGTGTAATTTGTTTTTTTTTTTTTATTTTTTACCTAACTCGTCAGTGATTTTAATTACTTCTGTGGCGTTGTTCATGCGTTCCTTTTTTTGTGCGTTGTTGAATTGTCGCTGAATTGTCTTTCACTTAAATTGCTTTGAGACATTTTTTGCGTGCGCATTCGTGGGTAATTTTATCATTAGCCAGCTTGTACTTATCAAACGCATAGTAGCCAACCGCATACACGCGTTTGGGTGTAGACTCTACGAACATAGCTAACTAATTTTAAAGTAAAGAAATAAGTAAATACCTACATACATTACCTGTGCTGCTATTTGCATAAACATGCACCGAAACTAACTAATTGAGTGACGTGCTGAGGTTTTTGTTTTTATTCCTACATTAATGCGTAAATTTCTATTTCACGCGCGTGATTGACTTGTTCAGCAACCGTAGAAGTCGAAAAAAAAATCACTAAAATAAAAAAGCCAAGCAGCTGTTTCGCATTTTCCATTACTTGATTTCTATCTCTCGCTTTTTCTGATTCAATTACTGTATTTTCTTTGTCTATTCTGCGCCACGAATTTTTTCCCCAAAAAGCGTGTGTTTCTATCGATCGATATATGTACATATTAGTGTATTTGCTTTTATGCACCGAATTCGGAGCAGTAAAAAAAATTGCGCATTTGCCAAATCTGCCAATAGTGCCAATAGTTAAGCGAATAAGTCAAATCTGCAAGAAGCATACCATTTGGTAATACTTTTACGTCCTTGTGGGTGACGTGGATCACTGATTGTGCAGGCTCGTCCAAAAATATCTTCCAGCACCGGCATCGTTATCTGTGTCTAACTTTTTGCCTTTAAATTTTGGCATTAAAAATTTGCATTATGAAATTAAAAAGATGATCTTTATTTTTTCCTGGAGTTTGAAAAAATAAAAGAAAAATAAGAGATTTTCCTTGAACATTATACAAAATTAACCCTTATCGAATGAAACTCGATTCTAAATTTTATTTTGAGATTACGATACTCGATACCGAGTATACCGAGTCTGCCTTTTCAATTTATGTATGTAAATATCTTCCTCTCTTCGGTTGTTAGTTAAAATTATTTCTTCTTATTTGGCACTACAACCGTTTGTCGGTTTGGGCCGAGAGCAAAACACTTTTGCTAATTGCCTCTCATTTGCTGATATGCGCTGGCCAGAGCCTGTTTTGCGTAGGGTCCCTTCCACTACAATGACAGAAACTGATGGTCCCTACATCCCAAAAGTGGGGGGAAAACAAGCAGACTAGCTTAAGTCATACCGATCCATTAATCTTACATCCCTTCTACTAAAATCCATGGAGAATCGCAAATAAAAAATTGTTGTGAGTAGTTTTTCAATAGTTCTAAAGTTCCTTGAAAAGCAAAAAGAAAAAAAAAATACTGCAAAATTACGCCGAAATTTTTGTTACAAAAAAAAAAAGTAGAAGAATGTTTGAAAAAAAATAAAAATTAAAACTGTTCTGAAAAGGTTTTCAATAGATCTAGAGTTCCTGAAACATTTTTTTTTTCGAAAAAGTTAAATCTTTGAAAAAGTAAATTAAAAGTATTCCGAGTAGGTTTTCAATAGTTCCTGAAAAGGAAAAAGAAAGTTCTGCAAAACTACGCCGTAAAAAACATTTTTCGCAAAAAAGTCCAAAAAGTTATATTTTTGAAGAAAAAATATAAATTAAAACTGTTCTGAGTAGCTTTTCAACAGTTCCATAGTTCCTGAGAAGGAAACAGGAAGTTATGCAAAATTACTAAAAAAAAAAACAATTTTTTGGAGAGTTAAATTTTGAAAAAAAAAATAAAAATTTCAATATATATAGAGTTTTCGGCAAAATTACGATGAAAAGAAATTTTTTTTTTCGAAAAGTGAAATTAAAAAAAAACAAGTAAGAAAGTCTAAGTTCGGGCGGAGCCGAACATTAAATACCCGGCGCAAGTATTAAATATATGTTTTTTCACCTTTCCGAAACCTTCCGCTAGATGGTAAGCCGGGGTGTATCAATTTTGAGTAAATTAGCGTCCTTCAATTTCGAAATATTGAAGTTTCAAGCATTTCTGAAATTTACCGTTATATGAGAAGCGGCCGTTATTTTAGTCCGATTTCAATAATTTTCAACGTTTTGCTTATATGTGGCAAGCACAATAACCACACCGAGTTTGGTACAAATTGGTAGAACGGTTACCGATATACTTATATGTGATCATAAGTGGGCGGTGCCACGCCCATTTTCCAAAATTTTACCATAAACGTATTTCTTGGTAAAGAATTGTTGCAAGCATCAATTTTGAATAAATTAGCTTCAATATTTACTGATTTATCGAAGATTTTGTATTTCTCTAAATTACCGTTATATGGGATGTGGGCGTGGTTATTGTCCGATTTTAAAAAGTTTCGGCGGTTTTGTATGCTGTACGAAGGCCAACAACTGTGCCAAGTTTGGAAGAAATTGGTGCAGCGGTTACCAAGATATACACATGTAACCATAAGTGGGCGTGGCTACGCCCATTTTCCAAAAATTTATAATATTCTTATTTTTCGTCTAAAAATTATTGTAAATATCAATTTTGAGTGAATTATCTTCAGTAGTTACTAAAATATCGCAGTTTTCGTATTTCTGGAAATTACCGTTATATGGGAAGTGGGCGTGGTTAAAGTCCGATTTCGCCCATTTTCAATACCAACCTACCTTGGATTAAGGGAAACCTACATACCAAATTTCGTTGAGATATCTCAATTTTTGCTCGAGTTATCGTGTACACGGACAGACGGACACACGGACAGACGGACAGACGGACGGACAGACAGACATGGCTTAATCGATTTCTTTTTTCATCCTGATCATTTATGTATACATTTGTCTATATCTATCTCGATTCGTTTTGGCTGTTACAAACAACCGTTATGTGAACAAAATTAATATACCCTTGTGCACAAGTGCGCTCGGGTATAAAAATTAAACTGTTCTGAGTAGCTTTTCAATAGTTCTACGCATGGGTCTTAACCAAAAAACTATTTGCAAACATGAGTTTAAAAACATACCACACTAATGCTAAGTCGATAAGGGTAAACATACTGGTATTAATGTACAATACATATATATGTACATATGTAGAAGAATACAACACATGTATTGCTGACAACTTCATTGAACATGCAACAAAGTTCATAAAGCTCATAAAGAGATACCCATAGCGTTTAGAGATACCTATGCGCGAAGGCATCAAAAGCATAAATGTATAACCGAATAATTTATAGTCAAACTTTTTTACGACAAAGTAGATAATAATGTTATATGTATGTAATGCATAAATATTAAAGATACAGATATCTACTATGTAACTGACATCAGTTATCCACCGTTGTTTCCTTAAGCTATTCCTCTAATCTCTTCTTTGAAAATTTAAAAGCTTTCTGCACTAAACTTTTAAACTTTTAGTCTACTTATCTACCAACATAATTGCTGTGATAAATCGTTGCATTAAGTTAAGTGACAACGAAACGGATTGCTTAATGCCGCATAATTCCACACAAAGTAAACAAATTCTTTTCATAGTGGTTTTACAATTCTTGCCATCTACTTAGTTTGTTGCTGCCTCCGCAGTCGTATCTCCACTCTACT